ACAAAATGCTTGTTATTTTAAAAATAGGTGGGACAGTCTCAAGAAGATTTCAGAACTCAAGTTGTACAAGAGGTGGGATATATAAAACATGCACCATAAAGAGAGGGTCTATGTTAAGAATTCAGAAAAAGAAAATAGTTGCCCTGAATGATCCAGGTAATTTTGCCCCAATTTCCTGTTTTTGGTTTTGTTTGTTTCTGGAAGACTCCTAACCCCCGTTTTCCCCCTAACCCTGGAAGCCACAAGTAAAATAAATATGGTATTTGGCGAGTCCCATTAACGTGCTTGACATGATACAAAACCACCACACAGGACTCTTTCCCTGCCCACCCACTGGATCAGCAGTTCGTTCTCAAACACATTTAAAAGCCTTGGCAAAGGACTCTGGTAAACAGAACACACACATATGAAATGTATATATGACGCACAATGACAAGAGAGGAAAAATGTGTTTTGTTGTACTTTCTGATGGCCATTGAACTGACTTGGAAAAGTGAGTTCATCAATCATAAAGAGAAAATAGTTTATTTCATAGATCAGCAGGGTGGTTTATTTATATATTTTTTTCTATTTTTTAAGAGAGCTCCTTTTATCACTCAGTATTTTTTAGCCTTTTGAAAGCGTTTAATGGTTACTGTGAAGCAGCAATTTTGCTGGAAACACCAATTTGGTTCCAGCTGTATAGAATGAACAGAGTAGGATTTAGCATAATTTTGGCAGCTTTTTAGGGTTGCAAGTTTTTGAGAACTTAGGCAGGACATGTACTTTTGCTTTGGATAGCATTTACAACTTTGAGAAAAGAGAATTTTAAGATGTGGCTAGCCAACTGTGTAAGAGATCGGGATTGTACATCTGGCCTTCTGGTTTCTAGTGTGTTATACCTGGATGTTCTCATACAAGTTGTCCTTATAAAGAAAAACTAGTTGTAGAGATCTTATTGAGATCTGAGGTTTATAAAGCTTACTATATGTATAACCAAAAAAAACAAACCCTTTGAGGTCGATTCCGACTCATAGTGACCCTATAGGACAGAGTAAAACTGCCCCATAGGTTTCTAAGGAGCAGCTGGTGAATTCAAACTGCCGACATTTTGGTTAGCAGCCAAACACTTAACCACTACACCACCAGGGCCCCACTATATGTATAGGGCTTACTGTATGTATCAGATCATTTTTTACATCATTTTACACATAAAATAAGTCCTAGAATTTGCCTCTAATTTGAGTCCATATAATATTCTCCTAAAACACCTTTGGCAGTTTGCACTTGATCAGACTTTGTTACTAATAAGTGTGTAAGTTATAAACTCAATTAAGTGTTATCTGACCATTTATGGTAAGTTTTAATATAGTCAAATGTACCAAAACTGTTTCTGTCTTGTAGTAGAAAGAAATAGTTTGTTGATCACTGAATTTTCAAATAGAAATTTCTTTTATGGAAAGTAAATAAATACATAATTTGGTTTTATTTTTATTTTATCCACGTCATGGGGTACTCTTCAGGCAGATTACAAATCATTTCTAAAAGACGTTTTTATTATGTTGAGGCACTGGTGTTAAATAGAGTAATTTTCCTTAAATTGATTTGAGTGAACTGACTTGTGCTTAAAATAAAACCGAAATAGCAAAAAACTTGGCACTGTTGGGATATTGATCGAAAAGATGTTTGGCAGATGTTGGGCAGAAATCTTGTGAAGACCATTCTTCAAAGGTTACTATGCATCTTTACTTTGCATTCCTTCGTTTAAAGCACTTAGTAATTTTGCCCAAATATTGAGGTCGTAAAAAAAATCTTTTCTTGTGATTGGCACAGAGAAGTGGTACCATGTCATTTTGATGTGGCTCCTCACATTGAGCGTTAAGATCAATCGACATTATGGCTTTGGGAAAGTACAAAACAGTCTTATACAGTTGAACTCTGTTGGGAGTCTATTATGCCAAATCAAATATAATACAATAAACTTATATTTCAGTCATAGAATAGGATTTGGTGACAGTGTTTTGGATGAAAATGTAGTGACCTCATAGTGAGATGACACTCAGACCACCGCCAGTGCGGCATACACTTGGAGTGATTGTTCTGTGGTAGTTTAGGATTCCCCTGATAGCCGTTATAGGTGTAAATACAGCCGCCTTTTTTTCTAGTGACATTTGTTTTCAACGTAGATAGTTTGGACGGCGTATAGGTTCTTTGTGGAGATGCTGTCATATAATTGTGAAGGTTTATATTAATTTTTGCTTTGAGGATAAAAGTGTTCAGAGCTGAAGGACTTTGGCATTATATATCAAAACGTGTTCAAGCCCTTTGATTCAGTGACTTTATTTTTAGGAATTTACCCTAAAGAAATAGTAAGCATGCACAAAGATTTATTTATGGGAATGATTATTTCACAGTTACTTAAAATAGTGAAAATTCACAAAGAATCTATCTGTCCAACATAGAGTAATACTTAAGTAAATCATGGTATAACTCCTGAAAGAGAATATTATGCAGCCATTAAAGGCCACATTTTTTAATTGAGGGGATAATTCTCAGTATATAATTCTCTCTATAGATTATATGGAGACCCTGGGAGGTGTAAGCAATTAACACTCTCTGCTGCTAAATATAAGTTGGAGGTTCGAGTCCTCCCAGAGGTTCCATGGAAGAAAGGCCTGGTGATCCTCTTCCAAAAAATCAGCCATTAAAAGCCCTATGGAGCACACTTCTACCCTGACACAC